AGTGGCAAATGGCCGGCAGCCGGCATATGATCTGACCGGGGCTCCCGGGCCGCGGTCTTCGATTTCCTAATGCCAGGCAGTTTTTAATTTCAGCGTTATCTCAAGTAAACAAAGGTTTAGAGTTTAGGGTTAGGGGTGTAGGAAAACTGCCGGGGCATTTAGGAAATCGAAGACCATGCCTCGGCTGCAGGGAATGATAGCCACAGCGGTTAGTAAAACCATAGATATTTTTATATTTCATTTCTGATGTGGGACAGGCAGTGTTGTGTCCTTCACTATTGCTTGTTTACTACTACCAAAATTGCATGCAGATCACAAGTAAAGCATTGCCTCTCATAAACCAGAAACGCTAATACAAACTCGTCCCAAGCTATGTCTGGTTGATATTAGATGAGCTTTTTTCCTTTTCTGCAGACTCGCTCCAGCTTGCCTCGCCCTCGAATCCCCGCATGCCACGTTGAGACTTTGGCCCGGCGGTGACGCCTACGTAAATAGCCAGGCTACTAAGACCAAGTTATTGTGCACTCCGAGTGCAACTCGACAACGATCACCTTGCTTCGTCGACTGGAGTTAGCCACAAATGCAAAACTCGGTTAGTGTGATAGGAGAGATGTGAGCAGACATGTCGGATCTTCATGAATGGGACAAACAAGAACACACCATGCTGCATGAGACAGCTTATCTATTAACACGCACGATAAAAATAACAAGAGATAAAATGTAATCAGGAGTAGAGTAATAGGAAGCGAGTGTGACATCCAATAAACAAGGGAATTTCGTTCATTTACTAGCCCTGTATAATACCTACGCATTTACTTACGCGTAACTCATCTAACTTGAGCTCAAATCGGACACAGTACATTCGCAATCATCGCTGCGAAATCGCTTTCCTTGTAGACACCGGCCAATCCGGAGATACAGCCTAAATACGTACGACACGATTCTCCATTCTTTGCGCCAATCAATCCCAGCCCAGTGCGCGCCTATAATTCAGACAAAAACGGCGCTAGCCAACACGGCGCGCCAGTCGCTGCTGTTGCTCTCTCGGATAAGTGAATGTAGCCCGATGTGGCTGCGGGGAGATTGGAGATCGAGCGCAACACTCGGACACGCTAATTCATGCTGGTTTGGCGTGCGTGGCCGCTGAAAGGCATGCAGCCTATGTCAAAGGTGGCCTGTGCTAGCTGTGTACCGGCGTCAAAGGTTATCTCGCGAGTGTTGCTGCCTAATCTGCGCAGCGAGCCACATGGCCTCGCTCAGTGAGCGAAGTAAGCGGCAGTTTAGGTAGCTGCGTTTTGTTTTGAATTATAGGCGCGGCAATGGCGCCTGTGATTGAAGGCAAAGAATGGAGGAATCGTGGGTCGTACGGTTTTAGGCTGTATCTCGGATTGCGAGGGGAGGTGTCTACGAAGAAACGATTCGCACGATGGATTGGCGAATGTTCACTGTGTGCCGATTTGAGCTCAAGTTGGAGAGTTACGCGTTAGTAGAATTCGTAGGTAGGTATAGGCCTTAGTAAATGACGATGTGGCGGCGCGTTGGTTTGATTGACTGTGCACACTCCTCGCCTTTTGTGTTATTATCTGACCTCCTGATGTAATATAATAAACGTAGGTCAATTCAGAACATGGTCCTGTAATAACTGCGCGAAGTATCTTTTACAAAACTGTACGACTTCACTTGGCCTAACTGTTGGCCTATCTCTTTTGCCAGATTACAATGTAGGCAGACGACTTTTTCCATTCGTTATGTGATGGACGGGCGCGGCCAATATTCGCAGAGCAGAGTGAAAGAACTAGTCGCATGATTCTTCACATAGTTGTAGTTTTTATTTTATAAAATGGAGCGTTGATTACAGCTAAAAGTTATTCAGTTATTAAACGTTTTAATAAATGTTTATATTGTACGAAAATAAAAAATAGGTATCATACTGGTGCATTGATCTCACGGCTATCCGTAATATCATGGTGATAATGGATTACGATTTATTCTTTCGCGCGACTCACGCAAGCATGCGACTGACGGCAGAAGTTTTGAGTTACGTTTGCCATGGTACAATACATCATTACTACTGGATATTGTATTATGAATTTTATTCGTTATCGCACTGTAAGAAAGGTGAGTTTAACTTTGAATATCTGCACCTCGCAGTATTTAGTTACGCAATGTCTCATGCTACTAAGCTTGTTTGAGGTATCGTATATCCCACATGGGCCCACAACAGCACCACCTATAACCACCATCATCCAATTCATGCCATGCCACAATCCTAGGTTTACTGGCGTAGCACCGGCTGAATAGTCAATTTAGTGTAGCACCGCAGCGTTACATGCGAAAACACATTTACGGCATCGCGCGAACACCACAGGCACCTTGGAGCGTTGGTGTCAACTGTGAAAACACACTGCCGCCGCCATTGCGGCGCACCCTCGACACATAAAGTAATATAGCAGGGGCGTGAGGAAAGCGCGCATCCCAACAAATTCGCTCGACCCGCGTCGGCGTGTATTCTGCTTACGAAGGAGTTTCACGCACGACAAATACGACCGGACACAGTTCCAGGCTTTGCCTGCTAATTGAGAGTACAGTGTTCACTTGCTCGGTTGGGGCTGTAGAAATATTGATGTGCTCACTTGCAAAACCGAGGCTTGTGGGTGCACGGCGAAAGTCACACGAAAGACTGGTCGAAATTCGTCGCGTCACCGCATCGCGGCCATGTACTTAAGCTTGTTACAATCACGTGCGCGAAGTTGCTAGCGAACGCGCCGAGACTTTCGGACAGTCTTTGTGTGAATTCGCGTGGACACAGCTCGGTTTTGAAGTGAGACATAATAGTTCGACAGAAACCAAGGGGGAACACTGTACTTCATTAGCAGCCAAGAGCGAAGGCTGTATTGATGTGCTGATTTGTGTTGAGAATCGTGAAGAAAGTTTACAGGCCGAGCGGTCGACCGCGAATTTTTGGGATCGCCGCGCTTTCTCACCTGGCTAGGATATTTATGTGTCAGGGGCTGTCGGCGCGCAAATCGGCGGGCGGGCGTGCGGGGGCTGTGCTTTACAGTTGAAACGGCTCCAAGTGCCTTGTGGTCCGAAACTAGCGACCGATCATTGCCACTCCAAAATTAAAAAACACGGGTTGTAACTGTAGATGACTGCCTAATTGCCAGAACACCTGTCCTGCCCGCCCTTTCGGCTTCACTCTGGCCCACTTGTTCCCCATATGGTTGATATGCGATATTTTTAGCGAATGTTCCTGTGCGTAATTAAGATTTGTTAGTAAAATGTCGTTGAGTATTTTGTAGCTCACGAGGAGCTTCGGCCATTCATCAGGATGACTTCATCGCAAGCTTGTAAGAATCGGTAACTTGTAAAGATCGCCTGCGCGGCTAGGTCTAAGTAGGATCATGCAGACAAACTGGTAACAAGAAAGAAGAGGCCAAAGTTTTGGCTAAGGGAAAGGAAGCAAGAAGACTGCCGGAGAAAGGCTAAACGATACACGGAGATTGAGAGCACTTGGAGCGGACAAGGTGGAAGAGAGAACAGCGTATGAGCATATATGCTGACAAATCTAGCGCGTAATTGGAGGTTTCAAATAAATACATGGCCAGGAAGTGAATAATCCAAGGGTCTGGAGGTTTGGCGCGTTGTCATTGGAGATATTTGTCAGTGTTTTACCTGGCCATTGACACGGAGCGAGGGCGGGCCGCATCACGGTCACATTGCTGCGAAGCGCGGCCCACGAGAAATCTGCCGCGCAAAAACATTGCGTGGCTTGCTGACGAAGATCACTGCTTTTATAGCTCGATCGTGGACGTAGTGCAGGTGCAGGCGCGTGTGTAGAGCGCGAAGGCGCGATATGATTCGTTGCCGGTCGTCGTCATAACAGTGTGGGGCCAGCAGATGCTTAACCGCTGCGACAGGAGGACGGTCACGGATATTTGGGACGTCGGGGGCGGGGTGAATCGGAAAACGAGTTGGAGTGTCGAGAGCTGGTGGTCAAAGTCGAAGAGGGGTAGAAAGGAGGAGGGCGAGAGGTGTGCCTGCCTTAACTTAGAGTATAGGGGGAGGGGGAAATGCAGGAGCATTGCGGCAAATCGGTAGGACGGCTCGACTAGGCTTGTGATAGTCGTGTATAGGGCATGGTAGTGGCGTAAGAAAAGGCCGATACGTGTGGCCGCGCGCAATTGGGGAGGGCGGTCACGCAGCGTCAAAGGGTCGAATGGGGGGCACCAGGGCGGCAGATTTTAGGACATCTTCTGGAGCCGACATGGGTCGGGTGACGGGGAGCGATTTGAAAAAGCTTTTGTTGGTGTTCAGCGGGTGACCAAGGCATTTTTATGGCCCTTTAGTTGAGAAGGGACCGATGAAGGTGTACTGTTCTGCTGACATGCAAAGATAAGTGTCGCGATAAGCCTTGTGGACCTTCAAGAGAGGACGTTAAACATGGATCTGTTGACTGTTAGAGAAGAATTGAGCTGCCGTTGCTAGGGTAGAATCGATACATGCCTGGGCTGGAGGGAGGTACAATGTCGCAGTGAAGATTTCAAAAGCTTAAATTTGTGGTTGAAGAAGTTTATGCTCCTTAAATCGTATGAATTGCGTATGGCATTCTGTACTGATCAGGTGTGGTTACATTGTAGAGCTATGCGCGCGAGCGTGCCGAGGTGGCGCACTGCCAGTGCCATTGGTGATGAGTACTGGTGTAGTTTTCTGCCTGCATTAATTAGTTACAGGTGGCAGCTCTCTATTTTAGCCTGTAAGGCTTTGCCCCGTAGGTATAAATGGCGATGAGTGCTTACCAATTCTGTCTTGCGTGCAATAGTTGTTGCTACTACGTACAATGAGCTTCCATCTTTAATGCTGAAGACACTTAAACGTACGCACCATCTCGTCGGCAACTTTCATAACATCCCAACAAACTATTCCTTTTGAGAAGCCGTTCCTGATACCATCTCTGTGCCTTCCACTGTATTCGGCCACGTATTGTGAACACATTGACTAACAGGGTTTACTAGACATCCCACCACTCCACCACAGGAGTCACCGCAGTAGACGTTAGTTAGTATGAAGCGCTGTCGCTCCGCCGCACTTGTTCCATATAACAGTGCTTCATAATGCACCAAAGAGCTTAAAATGCCCCACAAATTGCATAAACTTTTTCTAGATTTTTTGGCGAGCATGTTAATAATTTTGCTTCCTGCTGGACCCCCCTAGCTGGGGCGAGCGACTAGGCTCTGAGTACTAATTGAGGCCCACGTTCATTAACTGCCCCGCCAGGGCCTATAGAACATTGCTCAGATCGATTTTGCTACTGCATGGGTTGGCGTCGCGATTGGTTACACGGAAAATGGGTCAGGCGAAAACGCAAAATTGATCGCGGCCTTGTAAGCACTGATATGTTATCTACATGGACATGCTCAAACTATCTTGTTTGAACACTTTCCACAACTTTAGCAACGCGATGTATTTATGGCCGGTTGTAATAGATGTGGAAAGTCGGCTTCAAAGAAGATAACGGTGAATGTCCAGTGTAGATAAATAAGTGGTGTAAACAAGCGGCGATCATTGTCTGGCGTTTTCGAGCGCAGTGTTTCGTGGAACCAATCGGGACGCGAAAGGCAGTAACGAAATCGAGGCCGTGACAATGGCTTCAATAGCCCTGCGGGGCAGTTGCGGCAGTTAATGAAGCGCGGGCTGAGTAGTACTGAGAGCTTAGGCGGGAGGCGACCTAGCAGTGTGCGCTTTGCATAGGACCTCGAAACGCGCAAGGATGCACACGCACAAAAGTTGTACCACCTCGACAGACCTGGTTGGTTGGCCAGGCGGAAGGAAGGTGTTTGAGATGCCATCTCGATCATTGTTTTTATTCGCTGGATCGGATGGTGTTTAACAAACATTTTAGTAATAACAGTTACAGTGATATTCAGTCGAGGAGGAGGGGCGTATATCTTAGGAGAAACAGCGGCCTGGGGGCAAGCGTGGCTAAAGAAATTGCCGCCCTTTCCAACTTCTGACGGCCAATTAAAAACAATGGAAGGGAAAGAAAAATGGAGAAGTGGTTGAGTTTTTGGTTGTTCCTCAGATGTAGGGATGCCAATACTTCTAAACTACAGCTACTATCCCAGGCCGCTCCAGGGTAAACCAGGGCGTGCTAACAGGATTTGTAACACAGGGGGGCCGTCTAAGGGGAGGGTCTGGGGAATGGTTTGAAATGAGACCCCCCTAGGAGATGACGGTTTTCTGCTGCGCGAGCAGGGGGGGGGTCCAGACCGCCCTGGACCCCCGCCCGCCCCGTGTACACGCTCCTGGTGTAATCAACTTGTCAGAATAAAGCGATTTGAATTATTTCAGATATGCATTTAGTAGGCAGATTGGCTTTGTTTTTCCTTGCGTTTTGTGCGATTGTTTTGGTTACTTTGCGCTTTTTTGCGGCCTCGGCGGGAAGCATGGGCGTGCCGCGGGGGGGACGGTGGGGCCCCCCGCGTTGCCCCGCGCCTAGCGGATAGGCGCCACTGTAGTATTGTCAGGTATGCAATGGGCGGAGTATTGCTATATCAGTGGTGAAATGTGATGTAATGACATTGAAGGCCTAAATGTTCTATTAATTTGGAATGGCGAAGGTGTGTGAGCTTATAGTGTGGTTGAAAAGATCTGGCGCTGGTATTTATACAATCAAGTGTAGCTTAGGAATCAATTGGCAGGTGGTTAGCATCAGGCCAAGGAGCAGGATGAGAGCCCTCTTTTCGTGTGTGGGACAATGGCACTAGCCGGAGTGTATAGATCCCCGAGAAAAGAATCCTAGTAAAAAAACAGAGGCAGTGTGAAAAATTAAAAGCTTCGGTGCTTTCAAAATGTTGAAACCTGAGGTAGCAGGATTAAACGCCGCACAGGGAGCTAAGGAGAGGCTGGCCAGAAAGAACAGTCTTCAACCACAGAGGAAATCGGCTCGCCTCGCTTCACAAAGACAGAATAGAAGCGGGGGATTACATAGAGGAAGCCAACAAGAAAAAGGAAGGGGCAATAACAGCAGGCAAGCGGTCGAGAAGCAAAGGCTCATTGAGAAGTCAGAGCAAAGCGGGAGGATCTTCTAAAACTAAGTCATATGCGCGTGGGTTGACCCTATGGCGACAGCTCAGGATGTTAGGACTTGAATCGACGACTCGTCGAGCGATTATTTGCATTGCGCGCGGTGACAAAATCGTAAGGGCTACCGGGGCCGACCAGGATGGCCCATCTTTGCTGCTAATTGAAGTACAGAGTTCACTTGTTGTAGAAATATTATGTCTCACTTCAAAACCGAGCTGTGTCACGCGAAATCACACAAAGACTGTCGAAATTCTTGCGCCACTGCCATCCGCCATGTACTTAAGCTTGTTACAATCACGTGCGCAGTGCTAGCGAACGCGAGAATTTTGACAGTCTTTGTGTGATTTCGCGTGACACAGCTCGGTTTTGAAGTGAGACATAATATTTCTACAACAAGTGAACACTGTACTTCAATTAGCAGCAAAGATGGAAGCTGTTTGATGTGTATTTGTGTTGAAATTGTAAGAAATACAGCGAGCGTCGAGCGAATTTTTGGGATCGCGCTTTCTCACCTGCTATATATTTATGTGTCAGTGTGCGCGCAATGGCGGCGGCGTGTGTTTACAGTTGAAACGCTCCAAGTGCCTGTGTCCGAAACTACACCATCATTGCACTCCAAAATTAAAAAACACGGGTTGTAATTGTATGACTGCTATTGCCAACACCTTTCCTGCCGCCTTTCTTTCACTTGGCACTTGTTCCCCATATTTGATATGATATTTTTAGCAATGTTCCTGTCGTAAGTTAGATTGTTAGTAAAATGTGTTGATATTTTTTAGCTCACAGACTTCGCCATTCATCAGGACTGACTTCATCAGCAGCTTGTAAAATCGTAACTTGTAAAGATCGCTGCCTAAGTAGGGATCATGGCAGACAAACTGGTAACAAGAAAGAAGAAGCCAAAGTTTGCTAAAAATAAGAAGAAGAACTGGAGAAAGGCTAACATACACGAGATTGAAGAGCACTTGGAGGGACAAAGGTTGGAAGAGAGAACAGGTATGAGCATATATGTACAAAATCTAGCTAATTGAGGTTTCAAATAAATACATGGCCAGGAAGTGAAATATCAAGGGTCTGGATGTTTGGGTTGTCATTAATATTTGTCAGTGTTTTACCTGCATTGACACGAGCGAGGCGGGCCGCATCACTCACATTCTCAGCCGCCACACAGAAATCTGCCCAAAACATTGCCTTGCTGACGAAAATCACTGTTTTTAGCTCATCTGACGTAGTCAGGTGCAGCTTGTAGAATCGCATATGATCGTCCGTCCGTCCGTCAACAGTTGGGCACAAATCTTAACCGCTCGACAGACGGTCACGATATTTGGGACGTGGGGGGGTAATCCGAAAACGAGTTGGGATGTCGAAGCTGGGGGTCAAAGGTCAAGAGGTGTAAAAGAAGGGGGAACATTCCCTCCTTAACTTAAGGTATAGGGAGGAAATGCAGAATTGCGGCACAAATCTAAACCGTAACGGCTCGACCTAGGCTCGTGATAGTCGGTGTATAGTTATGTATATAGCATCATCATCATGGTAGGAAAACCATCACTGTGCGTCGCAATTGGAGGTCACAGGGTCAAAGGTCAATGGGGCACAGGGCAGATTTTAGACATTTTCTGAGGCACATGGTCTTGACGAGTGCGATTGAAAACTTTATTTGTTTCAGCGCGTGGACCAAGCATTTTTATGGCTTTATTGAAATGAAACAATGACCATGAAAATGTACTTTCTGCTGACCATGCCGAAGAGTGAAGTTGTTCGGCATTAACCTTTTTGACCTTCAGAGGAGGGTTAAAACACGATGGATCTGTTACTGTAGATAAGAATTGACTGCATAGGTGTTTGCTAGTGAATCTATACATTGCCTGGCTGTATGAGGCACAATTTGTCGCCCCCAGTGAAATTTTCAAAAGCTAAATTTTGTCTTTGAAGAAGGTTTATTGCCTGCCTTAAATCGTTAATTGTCTATGGCATTCTGTACTGTCAGGTGTGTTACATGTAACTTATTGCCACTGCCAGTGGCCACTGCTAGTGCATGTGGTGATAGTACTGTGTAGTTTTTGCCTGCATTAATTAGTTACAGGTGGCAGCTCTCTATTTTAGCCTGTAGGCTTGCGTAGGTAAATGGATGAGTGCTTTACAATTCTGTCTTGCAAATAGTTGTTGCTACTACGTAACAATGGGGAGCTTCCATCTTCTAATCTGAAGACACTTAAACGTACGCACCATCTCGTGGCAACTTTCATAACGATCCCAACAAACATTCCTTTGAGAAGGTTCCTGATACCATCTCTGTGCTTCACTGTTTCGGCACGTATGTGAACACATTTGGGACTAACAGGGTTTACTAGAATCCCACCACTCCACCACAGAGTCACCGCAGTAGACGTTAGATGAGCGCTGTCGCTCCGCGGCACTTGTTCCATATAACAGTGCTTATAATGCACCAAAAGAGCTTAGAATGCACTAAATTGCATAACTTTTTCTAATTTTTTCACATTTAATAATTTTGTTCCTCTGGACCCCCCTAGCTGGGCGAGCACTAGCTCTAGTACTATAGCCCACGTTCATTAACTGCCGCAGGGCTATAGAACATTGTCAGATCGATTTTGCTACTGCATTTGGTCCCGATTTGTTCCACGGAAAATGGCTCAGAAAACGCAAAATGATCGGGCTTTTTAACACTTATTTATCTACATGGACATCTCACCTATCTTTTTGAACACTTTCCACAACTTTACACGATGTATTTATGCCTTTAATAGTTGTGGAAAGTGTTCAAAAAGATAGGTGAGATGTCCATGTAGATAAATAAGTGTTAAAAAGCCCGATCATTTTGCGTTTTCTGAGCCATTTTTCGTGGAACCAATCGGGACCAAATGCAGTAGCGAAATCGAGCTGACAATGTTCAATAGCCCTGCGGCAGTTAATGAACGCGGGCTATAGTACTAGAGCTAGGCGAGCACCTGCAGTGCTCGCTTTGCTAGGACCTCGAAACGCGCAAATGCACACGCACAAAGTTTACCACCTCACAGACATTTTTGGCCAGGGGAAACACTGTTTGAGATGCCATCTCATCATGTTTTTTATTCGCTGATGATGGTTTTTAACAAACATTTTTAGTAATAACAGTTACATGCATATTCAGTCAGAGGCGTATCTAGGAGAAACAGCGCCTGGGGCAAGTGCTAAAATTGCGCCCTTTCCAACTTCTGACGCCAATGAAAAAAATGAAGAAAAAAAATGGAATGTTGAGTTTTCGGTTGTTCCTCAGATTAGGATGTCAATACTTCTAAACTACAGCTACTATCCCAGGTCCAGGTAACAGGGGCGTGTACAGGATTTGTACCAGGGGGGGTCTAAGGGGGGGTCTGGGGAATTTTTGAAATTAGACCCCCTAAGATGCGTTTTCTGCACGAGCAGGGGGGGGGTCCAGACCCCCTGGACCCCCCCCCCCCTGTACACGCTCCTGGGTAATCAACTTGTCAAATAAAGGATTGAATTATTTCAAGATATCATTTAGTAGGCAGATTGTTTTTTTTCCTTTGCCTTTTTGCATTTTTTTTTACCTTTGCCTTTTTTGCGCCTCCTGAACATGGTGCCCGGGGCACGTGCCCCCCTTGCCCCCCCTAGATACGCCATTGTATTCAGTAATCAATGCAGTTTTATATCAGTGGTGAAATGTGATGTAATGAATGAATGCCTAAATGTTAATTTAACGCGAATGTGTTAGCTTATATGTTTGAAAAATTCTGCTGTATTTATAAATCAATGTCTTAATCAATTGCAGGTGGTTTAGCATCAGCCAAAGCAGATGAAGCTCTTTTCGTTGTGGACAAAGCACTACCGTGTATAGATCCCCCAGAAAAAATCCTAGTAAAAAACAAAGGCATAAAAAATTTAAAACTTCGGTGCTTTCAAAATCTTGAACCTGATAGCAGGATTAAACCCGCACAAGTAAAGAGAAGTAGCAGAAAGAACAGTTTAAAGAGGAAATCGCTGCCTGTTAAAAAACAAATAGAAGCGAATTACATAAAACCAACAAAAAAGAAGGCAATACAGCAGAGCGTCGAAGCAAGGCTCATGAGAAGTCAGAAAAGGGAGGAGTCTTCTAAACTTCCATATGCGCGTGTTGACCTATGGGACAGTAATGTAGGACTTGAATCCGACGACGTCGACGATTATTTCATGCGCGTGACAAAACGTAAGCTACCGAAGCGACCAGATCGCATGAACAAAAAGCCGCTCGACGTGCCGGCGGTTGAAGTGCCACCAGGCGGAGCCTCCTACAACCCCTCCGTCGACGATCACCAAGAGCTGCTACAGCGGGCGCTCGTCGTCGAGGTTGCTAAGAGGAAAAAGGACGCGCGCATCGAGAGAGTGACGACGGGAATGTTCCCCACAGTCGACCAGGCTCCGACGGAAGCCACCTGGTTGCAGGAGATGTCCGAGGGGCTCTTCGACCAGGAGGGAACCCAGCCAGCGCGAGAAGAAGCCAACGACGCGGAGGGCGTCTTTGCGAACCCGCGAACGTCGAGGAACGACCGCAAGCAGCGCAGCCAGCGTCGCAGGGAGCTGCAGCGCAAGCGCCAGTTAGCGGCGAAGGCAAGCGAGAAGCTGGAGCGGACACGCGGCGGCGCCATCTATCGGCTGAAGAGCATCCGGAAGGATCTGGAGAGCGAGGCGGCAGCAATCGAGGAGCGGCGGCGGCAGAAGGCGGAGCGGCGCGAGCTCGAGCGTGGCAAGCCGACGCGCATCGGGCGTCTGCGCTACGAGGAGCCGGATCTCGCGCTGAAGCTGAGCGAGGAGCTGACCGGCTCGCTGCGGGAGCTGAAACCCGAGGGACACCTCCTGGAGGAGCACTTTCGCAGCCTGCGGCGACGCTGCATCATTGAGCCGCGTGAGCGCCACAAGCAGGTGAAGAAGTACAAGCGCAAGACTTACGAGAACAAGACGCACAGGGAGTTGGTGTGAGGAGGCGGGAACGCGGCGATGTTGGCTAAATGTTTCGTGAATTGAATTGAATTATGTTTGAGGATAAATTTTGGAGTTGCCTGAAAACATTTTTATGAGCTAGTGCTTAACATATATGAGTAATGTCACATGAAGTATGTTTTGAAGTGTATGAATGAAGGGGGAAAAGCGTGCAAATCTGTGTTTCGTAAAACGTTTTCCCGAGGTCATAATAATTATATTTGGATTTATGGTGTTAGAAATCAGTTTCTATTAGACACGTGTGTTGGATAGTTAATATGTGCCATTTCAAATACTAATGGGGATAGATATTTGACCAATTTGTTCTCAATGCTGCATTCTGTTTTGTAGTATCTAGTATGGCATGCTAGATTCATAACATAGAAATAAATTCATTTCTAAAATATATTTGATATTAAGATTTTACATAGCAATCACAAAACCTTGCATAACATCGAAATGTCTGTACACGTAGCAGTAAATTATCTTAGAATTAAATTAGCATAATTAAAATAATTATTAATTAGAATTAAAGCGAGAGTATGGCACTTAGGTGATCTTAGGTACTTTCAGTTTAACCCACAACCCCGCCTATCTTAATTGATGGTATATTTGACAGGGTTTCGTTGCCCGTGCACTCACAGATCAGAAGTCTTCGCATTGTATTGCATGCAGGAAGTTAGTTACCTGTGCATTGACCAGAGCCCAAATTCCAGATATTTCTCGATTAATCCTACTCTGTGCCAATTCTTTCCGCAGTCTCTCTCTTTCCTTCCATTATCTCCTCCTCTATTTTTCTTTCACTTCTTTACTCCTGCCATTTCGTTAGAATAACATATAAAGAGTGATAACGTCAGAAGCAGATTTTCCTTCTTTATACGCTCTTGATAACTTGTGTATTGAATCGTACGGCCTTACGAGACATTCAGACATGAATGTAATTTTTTTCAGCCACTAGATGGCGGCACCTTGTAGTAGCCTGTAGAAAGCAAACCGGAACCTCTGCCGGAATTATTGATACCCATTTCAGTTTTCACCAAACAAAATCGTCAGCTTAGCGCACACCAACTTCAACAAGGAAATGAGTTTACTTAGCCACTAAATGTGACACAATTGGGAACTAATTAGAATAGGAAGGAATAGGATTAGTTAGGAAACTTGAACTATTTCCAGTTATCGAGGTCCTTAAGCTGTAGAACTAATTTACGAAAATCACACGGCTTGTTAAAGTTTAGCCTAGGACTTCTTTATGATGAGTAACGTTACACTAATGTCCTTCTTAATATTGGTCCTTAAAGTATGTAGTAGGGCTCTAAGTATTCAATTCCACTTGACAACTGATGACACGATCACCACGGGCATGGCAATGAACAGGCTATACCTGGCAACAGATTCAGTGTCTATGGTGAGCCAAATGTTTACTCAGTTTAGGCCTAAAACTAAACTTCATGAATCATGGCTTATGACGTCTGATGTAACTACTTGTGTTTCTGCAACAGACTCAACAATTACTAACACTAACAGTTACAGTTATACTGCATGATAACTGCATGTTGACCGCATGATGATGATGCGGGATGTTACCATGATTGGTTTATTCCCGGTTGGCTTACTCCCATTTTTGCCTACAGCAAAATTCCCAGTTGGCCTACACCCATTCCACCTACTCCCAATTTGTCTACGCTCAAAATCTCAGGTCTCGGATTTGAAATCTAGATGCTCTAAAATGCTATTTCCAGCATTCTGAGGATATTTTAAAAGTTTGGGGCCCCTTTAGGCTGGGGGCCCGTAGCGTTTTGCTACGGCAGCCCTACGGCTGTGACGCCCCTGCATACATAGACTACAGGAACCAGAAGAAAATATAGGTACAAATTATGAGAACACAACTTGACAAAAATAGAAAATACAGTATCATAAAAATGAAACAATGGGAGTAGGCGAAATGGGAATATTGCCAATTCTGAGAGTAGACGAAATGAGAATAGGCGAAATGGGAGTAGGCGAACTGGGAGTAGGCGAAATGGGAGTGGGCCAACTGGGATGTTACCAAATTGATTAGTCCCATAACTGGCATTAGTCCTTGGCATAATAATTTCCTTCTCTTCCTCCCAGGTTGTCCTGTGTCAGCTGTATGACCCAGACAATGACACTGAAAACTCGAGAATACAGCTTTTCACAGAGTACACCTCCCTTGGTCTGAGCCCTCTCATCACTATCAGCAATGCCACCAGTTCCAGGGAATTCCGCTTTGAACTTGCCACGGTATATCATTTACCAAGTATAATAGAGTGTGACAGTCAAACATATTTGGACCTACTTTATTGATAATAAATTCATACTTATTCTGTTATTTCATTCGTTTCCTTAATCCTAAATTCAATATGAAGTCACACATTTCTGTCAATTTACCTATGCTACACACACGCACACACGCATATATATATATATATATATATATATATATATACTATATATATATATATATATATATATATATAATATAATAATATATATATATATATATACTAAATAAATAAATATATATATATATATATAATAACATGCAGAGAGTTGCTATTGTTGTCAAGAGTGTATATCATATCAAATTTATTAAGGTGTACCTTGTTGTCATTATTATTGAGAATTGTTGTGCCATGCTCAATAACGTAAGATGCATGGTAACAGGAGTTGCATGCCTGGAAGCTCAACATCAGCAGGTTTGATCTGACAGGAGAGGAGAGAGCAGGAACCAGTAGCTACGCACAGTGGGATGCCACCGTGTATACCGCCAATAGCCTTCACCTGTTTTCTACCTACGCCACTGTCATCGATCTTCTCACAGGTGTCACATATGTTATATGTTATAATTGTTATAGGGAAATGGTAACTCGGTGTGAATGTATTTGATTTACATAACTTTATTAAAAAATATCGAAAAAGTGTCCCATGTGAAGAGTAACACCTTGGTCTTCAACAAAAGGAATAATCCTTGACTCGTTGTGCAGATCAATGATTGTTTATAGCTCATGGCGGAACAATAACCATCTAAAGATCTCTTCGACAACCCAGTTTTGCATCTGTTACAGAACCACTCTGGAGGAGAAAGTTTCCGAATCTTGTTTCGTCTCCGCCTGCAGAGGTGTTTGATGGAGCTGATGGTGTGAAGGTGGTTTCCAGCCCATGCTCTCCTGATGTAGCTGCCATACTGCTGCAGACCTCAGCTGCTCACCCAGGTACAACCAACTATGTATATATTTCTTGATACGACAAAAAAACACACATGTATATAGCTCCTAGTACAACCAAAAATGTATATATATAGTTCCTGGTACAACCAAACATGTATATAGCTCCTAGTACAACCAAACATGTATATAGTTCCTGGTACAACCAAACATGTATATAGCTCCTAGTACAACCAAACATGTATATAGCTCCTGGTACAACCAAACATGTATATAGCTCCTAGTACAACCAAACATGTATATAGCTCCTGGTACAACCAAACATGTATATAGCTCCTGGTACAACCAAACATGTATATAGCTCCTGGTACAACCAAACATGTATATAGCTCCTGGTGCAACCAAACATGTATATAGTTCCCGGTACAACCAACCATGTATATAGCTCCTGGTACAACCAAACATGTATATAGCTCCTGGTACAACCAAACATGTATATAGCTCCTGGTGCAACTAAACATGTATATAGCTCCTGGTACAACCAAACATGTATATTGCTCCTGGTACAACCAAACATGTATATAGCTCCTGGTGCAACCAAACATGTATATAGCTCCTGGTACAACCAAACATGTATATTGCTCCTGGTGCAACTAAACATGTATATAGCTCCTGGTACAACCAAACATGTATATAGCTCCTGGTACAACCAAACATGTATATAGCTCCTGGTACAACCAAACATGTATATAGCTCCTGGTACAAGCAAACATGTATATTGCTCCTGGTGCAACTAAACATGCACGTAGTTCCTGGTGCAACTAAACGTGTATATGCGCAGTTCCAAGTTCAGACAGTCCTGTATTCAATTCCATGAACAGTAATAACATAAGATGGTATAATGCCACCCTCCCATGTTATGCAGCGGCTTGCACCTCTCTGCTGCCACGACCCTGCCTCCCCCACCAGCATTGTGTAACCCTTTCAGCCTCCTCTAGCTGCCCTTCACAAGCTGCCACTTCTACCATCTGCTGCTTCCCCGCCCATCCCACTCCTACCCAGCCTCCTGCTGCTCCTACCTTTCCTTCATAGTGCTTTCACTTTTCCCAGCACGTGCTGTCCCCAACATGCATGCTAATCCTAACCTCACCCTTGTAGAGCTATCTTGGTTAATTTTTATTTTTTGTTATGACAGGAAATGACTCACCCTTATACCCTCCCACATGAACGTTGCCTTAAGCTCTTGGCCTTAAGCTTAAGGCCTTGCCTTACGTTACACTTTGCCTTACGTTGCCTTTACTCTAATGGCCATAAGCACCTTCGTGCCCTCACACACGCGCCCTGCCCCTACCCCCACCCTCATGTCCCGACTCTTTTTACATGTGAGCTGGCCATAACCTGGTCAACCTACAAGCTGCTCCCGCAACCCAACCAAACACTGCCGTCCATCAACGCGCAGCTATCCCCAGCACACACACTGTCACCCACTCCCTCCCCACCCGCGCTACTCATTCACCCGTCCACTCTAACTACTAGAGTAACTGCGAAAGACCATACTCCATTAGATGCTTTGTATTTCAGAACAAACACGCGTAAGTGGAGCCGTCCGGGAGCCGTCGCTTCTTAATTGACCACTTACGTGAGAGCGCGCGCTAGTGAACTAGTACAGGATCAATCTGCCTCTTACGTTGCTTGGTTGCATGCTAGAGTCCAGTGATAATTTCCTCGTGTCAGAAACTCGTAGCCGGTAAAGTGGCACAGAAAAGGAATGCACTGGCCATGAGCATGATATCAATAAATAAAGCAATAAATGTGCTAAGAAATCAATTGCTAGAAAATTAAAAAGACATAGTGAGTAGGGAAAGGAGCCACGCATAGTGTCCTTTTATGAGTATAACGTGCCGTAGGAGCGTGAGATACGAAGGTACGCGTTAGCGTGTGTGGCTGTATGATTGGTATAGACAGTCAGAGAAGTGTAAGTCAGGGTTGTACGAGTGCACGCGCGTTAGTGTGATACTAGTAATTAGTTTCGCAGTTGTTAGTTAAGCGTATGTCGTAATTCTCCCCTCCTCCTTCTCTCCTCCTTCTCCACCAGCTTCTCCCCTCCTCCTTCTCTCCTCCTTCTCCACCAGCTTCTCCCCCTCCTCCTTCTCCACCAGCTTCTCCCCTTCCTCCTCCACCTGCTCCCTTCTCCCCATCCTTATCCCCTTCTCCTTCTCCCCCTCCTCCTCTACCAGCTCCCTTCTCCCCTTCCTTCTCTCCTTCCTCCTTCTCCACCAGCTTCTCCTCCTCTCCACCACCTTCTCCCTTCTCCCCCTCCTCCTCCACCAGCTTCTCCCCTCCTCCTTCTCCACCAGCTTCTCCCTTCTCTCCCTCCTCTACCAGCTCCCTTCTCCCCTCCTTCTTCCCTTCCTCCTTCTCCACCAGCTTCTCCTCCTCTTCCACCACCTTCTCCCTTCTCCCCCTCCTCC